TTGAAGCAACCTGGTCTAGTGGGAGGTGTCCCTGCCCACAGCGGGGGGTGTTGGAACTAGATGATCCTTAAAGTCCCTTCCAACCCAAACCATTCTGTGATATGATTCTATGATAATTGAAAACTTGAAGTGACTTGGTGGCAGAAGGGAACTGGGAACATCAGCTGTAGCTATGTGGCTGTTAAGAACTACCCTGAGAATGGAGATAAGATCAGATTAATTTCATTTCAGCATTACTTGCTCGCCAGAATATTCTTGGAGCAACCCTGAGATGACCTGGGTGGGGAGTCATGGGGTGCATCACCAGGGTACTTCAGAGCACAGAGGCTGGGTGATCTATAGCAGAACCAGCACAGCCTGTTTGTTGTGCACGGTTACCAGATGTCACTGAAGGGACTGTTTTGGACAGACAACATACCTGAAGTCCTCAGCGCAGAGGGAAAGAAGAACACAAATCAGACAAAATATTTTTACATCTCAGGATTTCTGAAGGTCCTGATTGGTGGGGGAGGGAGACCGAGAATTTGGCATTGCAGGAATGTGAGTAAATTCAGTCAAAACTGATGGAAAGATACAGTTAGGCAAGAAACCAAGTGCCTTATGCTGAGTGAGTCCCTTTAGGAAATCTCTGAGGAGTTTTAGATATTTCTGAAAAATGCAGGAGCCTTAGGCACTATAGATGGATTGCATGGTTTTAATTTATTAAATGGCAACAGTAGGCAGCTGTATGGCAGTCTGTGTACCTGTAACTTAGGTATTTGTTTTAACAACCATTAGCTGCAAGTATCCTCTGTATGAAAAATACTTTCCTGAAGAATTCAATAATTCTCATCTAACTCTTTTCATTTCCCTTTTTCCCCACACCTACCTGCAGGAGGAATTCTGGAACGCCTATGTAGGTAAGAAGCAATCTGCTTTTGTTTAGAGAATTAAGCTTCCTTACTGCAGGGTTAAAAAGGATGCACTTCTTAAGTAACCACTTCCTGCTCCTTCTTTCCTGTCATTTCCCTGTGGGACACCTTCGCTTTGTGTTTCCTCTGAAGAAGGAATCTGGCTGATTTAATGCCTTGCTGTTTCTTGAAACCAGTGACTTCATTCAAAGGCAAGGTTCAGCTGCCTCCAATGCCTGGGAAGATCTTTGTCTTCTCAAAAAGAAGAGTGGCCCTTTGTAAACAAAGTGAGAAGCAGAAACTGGATATGTGACTCTGCTGGTCGGTTGTCCTCCAGAGGGGCAGCCCCAGATGATGGAATCAAGATGCAAGAGTCATAGATGAGGGTGGTGCTTAAATGCTATAGGTCAATACAAAGCATCTCCCAGTCCCTTGACAGTGTCTTGTCACCTTCCATGCTAGAGTATTGTTGATTCCTGTATTTTAGAACATTTTGTGGGATGGGTTTTCTACAGAAGTGTTTGGCATTCAAGTAAGACATGCCAGTAGACTAGCAGTTACTACCATCAGTTTTTATGTTGGTTTTTTTTTTCAAAAGGTCTGAGTTGTAATTATTAGTGTTCTAGTGTTCATAATCACTATACAGGGGCAGATTTTTAATGTGTAAGTGTGGTAATGTGTTCTCCTGAAAGTATGTTTCCAGCTTGTGTGTTAGGAGGAGTACCTCAAAAATGTTGACCAAAGACAGCTCAGCTTTGTCTGAAGACAGTTGCCATGAAAAAGATGCAGACTTTCACAGTCCTCTAAGCAGGGGATGAACTCTGCGACCTACAGAATGAAATTTCCAGGAAAGCCTATGTCAGTGTTGCAGTGAACAGGAGAGGAAAATTACAAACCATTTTCTTCTGAGAATACAAGCAGCAGAACATCAGTGCCAGTGCTCTCAGCAGAAATACCAATTTCATGTGTTTTCAACCGCAGCCTACAAATGCTTTATTGGTGTTCAGAAGTATTGAAAACCACAGCTACCCTCAGCCAACTTACTAGAACCATTTGTTCTCACTTCCTTTTCCAGGAGGGGATTCTGCAATGCTTTTGTGCAATATTGGTAGAAAACTCATTGCAACAGTTGCAACTAAATGGGAAAAACTAAATAAGTATGATTTCTAACAGTAAAATTCTGCTTAGTTAAGGCCACCACAGAACAGAATGCTCTGACACTGCAGAGGAGGCAAAAACCAGGAGCTGTGCTGCTGGTCTTGAGTCTGTCTGTCTTCTGGTAAATGGTGGTCCTGCCTTTCCTCTGTTGAGGATGGGCATTAATGCCTCTGTGGTGGAACACACAGAGGCAGCATTTGAAGCACTGTTGGTTTTGGCCACATGCAGGTAGAGAAGTTGTGTTGAGGTGTGGGTACAGTGCACAAAGCCCAGCAGATGTTTCCTGTGGCAGATAAAGCTGCAGCAGCTGAAGTCACAGGCCAGAGCCACCAGGCAGGTAACAAGCTGGATCCTTAGGATGAGCAGCTTCTGGCATCTTGTACCCTTTTGGGTGTTCTAAACAGGGGCAGAGCAGGTGATAAAACCTATAAATTTGAAGAACATGTTATCTAAAGCAATGACTTATTAAGCAAATGTCATTTCTCTGGATCTCCTCCTTTTCTTGTTGAACAGTGTAGAAGAGCCCAGCAGGGTTGTCTGATGGGGGAACACAGATGGGAGAGACTGTGGCAGTGAGCATTAGTGCAGGAGGGAGATACCTCTGTGGGGGGTGGGAGAAAGCTACATGGAACCTGCCTCCACATGCAGTGCAGCCTCACCATTCCACATGTAGCTGAGTTAATGAGACACATGTGGCTGGAGCCATGGAGACAGGTCAGCCAATGGTGTCCAGGTCATGGAGAGGAAGAAGGGCTGCAGAAGTCAGCTGTCAGGTGTAGGAGATCCCAGCGTAAATGTGAGTGTGAGGTAAGAGCTAATTTTTGGAAACTTAAACTCATACCTCAGTGGATACAATGGGATAATTTTGGTACCATATGCAGCATAAACCAGACAGTTGGCCTGCACACGTGGATTTAGCAGGGCTTTGTGAAGCATTTTGCTTTGTTTTCTTCATCTTCTGATTAATATGCTGGTGTCTGTTTCTTTAAATGGACAGCACTGCAGACAAAAGACATGCACAAGGAATGAGGTGACCTTTAAAGAAATAAAAGTTGAGTTGTCGTTATTATGTGGAAATTGTAGCAAAATGCAAGATGCCAAAAAGGTTATTATCTTTAGACAGTAGTTGCAATGTCAAAATGCCCTGTCTGCTTTCACAGCCTTCACTGTAAATTATGTACACTCTGACCATGATGTATTACTTTATCTTCCTACAAAAAAAGAGGACTGGGTATTCACTGTCATACAGCAGCCATCAACACTAGATTGCAAAACTGAGAATATGTTTGTGATTCATTCGTGGTTTGGAATGATTGCTTTTGTACTCTTTGTTCCATCTGGAATGTGGCAACTCACAGGACATATATTTTAAAAGGAAAGATAAAAGATTGCTTATTAAAACTAACATTTCTTTAGAGTTCACTGAAAATGCCTACACTTTTGTTGTTTGTTTTTGTAGATGGGAACCAGTGCAGCTCAAATCCTTGTCACTATGGTGGACATTGTAAAGATGGAATTGGTTCCTACACTTGCACATGCTTGGATGGTTATCAAGGCAAGAACTGTGAATTTGGTAGGTTTCTGCTTTAGAGAGCTATGGCAGTGAATTTCCCTGGTAGCTGAAACACAGAGAGTTAACCCTTCTTTAACCAGTATTATTTGCCCTTGGAAAAATATGTAGAATAGGATGGTAGTCAACAAAGAGTTTGAGAACAGTGCCATAAATACAAAGCAATGGTGCCTCTACAGCTGGGTAGTGTTAGAATCATAGAGTAATAGAATTGTAGGATGGTTTGGGTTGGAAGGGACCTTAAAGGCCATCTAGTCCAACCCTGTTACAAGGAGCAGGGACCTCTTCAGCTTTCAGGTTGAACAGATCCGGTTGCTCCAAGCCCCATCCAACCATGAATGCTCTGAAGTTATACTTACTCCAAGGAAAGCCCTCTTAATTATGACAGTGCCTCTTTACATGATCTTGAAACCCCAAAACATGATAAAACTGAGAAGCAAAGGATTCTTACAGCTGAAACTGGAGAGCATTTAGTCCAAGTAGGGCATTTACTGCTCAGCTCACAGCAGTGAAGAACCAAAGTAAGCAGGTTTCAGTAGACCATGCAGAATTTTTCAGCCTTGCAGGGAATAGTTTTTTGTGTATAAATCCTTCCTGAGACTCACTTCTATGGCATACAGCTACCACCCTGACGATGTCATTGGAGTGTGTATCAGTAACCTAGAATTAAGAGTGGTGACCCCAGAGTAAGAGTGTGTGAAACTGAAGTTCAAACATGGGACTGTGGGGGGTGATGAGGAGTAGAGTTTTTTAAGGCAGGAGGGAGGAACTGTGGGAGGATTTACCAGTGTCTGGGCTTCTTTTATTTTTTATATGTTCTTCCACTATCATTTTGTCTCTCCTTTTTTAAGCTCAGCATGACATGGCCCCTGGCTTGGCAAGCATGTTTCATGCAGTGGATGTGACTGCTGTGTAAGACATAAACTAATGTTAGCTACTCATGTTATTACTAAGATGTGCTTCAGGTAGTTTACAGGTGAAGATACAGATCCTGTTTAAAGAGTGTGATTTAATTTGGTGAACTTCAAGATCTTCTGTCAAGTCAGTGTTTATTCACACTTTTTCTCCAAACTTAACCTCTTTTTTAGTCATACCAAAGTACTGCAAAATAAACAATGGTGACTGTGAGCAGTTCTGCAGCTTCCAAAGAACTGCCCAGAAGGATGTTGTGTGTTCCTGTGCAAAAGGGTATGTTCTAGCAGAAGATGGCAAACACTGTGCTTCATCAGGTATGAAGCTACGTAATAAACTAACAGCAATGGTGGTGAGACGTTTCACAGTTAAAGAATGTCTTTTGAACTGTCAGGATTCTACACAACATACATTTGACACTGAGGCCAACTGATTTGTAGCTCCAAAGTCTTTCATGTGTGAGATGATGGGATGGACTTATCAAAGTCCTGCTGATTTGGAAGCCTTTGCAAGGTGCCTCTCACAGAATTACCTGAGTAAATTCCACTGTTGACAGCAGAAAAGTGATTGCAGTTAACATTTGCTTAAACACTTACAATCCATATAAAATAGCAGCTAAGCAAAACTTTTCTACTTTAGATTTCAGTTAACTTAATCAAATAGTAACAGATTATATTAAATAATTACAACTAATGCTATTTACCTTTGTATTTTTATGTGGTATTTCAGCAAACCTGGGGGGAGGAAGAAGACAACCGTATACTCTTGAGGGTGGTTTCTGTATGGTTTATAATTAATACTAAATTTCTATCATGTGCCATATTATTCCTGAAATAAAACACTTCACTCAGCTTCCTAATTAAGATGGTTTTAGTAAGAGCAAGGACATGAATACAGCAATGAATCAACTGATGTTTTAAATGTTAAATACTTTGAAAACCCTATCTGGAGACTGAACCTATAGTCAAGTCTTAGGACTACAAAATGGCTTTCATTTTTCAAACCATCTGGTCTTCCTTCTTTCTTGCATCTGCCAAGGTTTTGCTAGTGTTTTGAAAAGAGGACAGCTGCATTAACTGATTTATGAGATGGTGCTGTCAAAAAGTTTCCTCTTGTGCTGGTGTTTCTGTCCATCTCTAATTCTAAAATTCTTGTCTTAACAGTAAAGTATCCTTGTGGAAAAGTTTTTGTGAAAAGAAAAAAAAGGTCGATTATTTTACCCGCTGATAATAGCAATGTAACTAGTGATGAAGATGGCCCTCCCACAAATGCAACGGTTTTGGAGGAGGACATTGTTCCTACCACAGAAAGCCCAACCTTCCATCCTGGCAACGAAACAGGTAGCAAGACTCCGTATGTCATTACCAGGATAGTAGGTGGTGATGAGTGTCTTCTTGGCGAATGTCCGTGGCAGGTAAATCTGGTGTTGGTGCTCTCAGAATGTGTTTGGGAGGGAAAGTGGGGAATTGTTTATTTAATCTGGTTGCCTTTGGAGTGTTACCCATGTAGGATGCCATTTGCAGCTGGAGGCAGCTGAACTGTGTGAATGTAGGCCCTAAGATCTGCTGTTCTGCAAACTGCAGCCTTAAAATCACAGAATCACAGAATGTCAGGGGTTGGAAAGGACCTCTGAAGATCATCAAGTCCAACCCCTCTGCCAGACCAGGACCAAAAAGAAACTAGGGCTGATCACTCAGGAAGGCATCCAGACAGGTCTTGAAAGTCTCTACAGAAGGAGACTCCACAGCCTCTCTGGGCAGCCTGTTCCAGTGCTCTGTCACCCTCATAGTAAAGAAGTTCTTCCTCATGTTGAGGTGGAACTTCCTGTGCTCATGTTTGAATCCATTGCCCCTCATCCTATCACAGGGCACAAGTGAAAAGAGGTTGTCTCTGCCTTCTTGATGCCCAGCCCTCATGTATTTATAGACATTAATTCAATCCACGCTCAGTCTTCTCCTCTCTAGACTGAAAAGCCCCAGGTCTCTTAGCCTTTCCTTGTAAGGCAATGTCAAAATCAAAGGCTTTATGCAGTTCTGGATGGTGTTGCTTAACCTGACATGGCAGCCAAGCATCTACAGCACAGAAAGACAATGGAGACGCTGTAGCAGGACACACCAAGCTGTAACGTGCACATGTGTATATGCAATATTAGGAGACACCTGCAGGGTGGTACATGTTGTACTAACAAACATGTATGTCATGTGCAGAGAAACCAATTACCTGGTAATAGCTCATTGAAGTTAAACTGCTCCTCCTAATCCTGCACTTCCCTCTTTTCTTTTGCAGGCTGTTCTGTTGAACGAGGAAGGGGAAGAGTTTTGTGGTGGAACTATTTTGAATGAAAATTTTATACTAACTGCAGCTCATTGCATGAACCAATCTAAGGAAATCACAGTTGTTGTTGGTAAGTGGTTATTTATTTTCCTCCTGTGATGTTTGAACATGTGTTGCAGACTGATCATCCCTGCTTAAACCTGTGTGACATGAACTCATATTACTTTGTTATGCTTTGTTACTTTTTTGTTGTTTTGCTTTTTGTAATTTCTTCTTGTAGTGGGAATCCTGCCTTGTAATGACAAGGGCAGCTGACGTGGAAGGTGATGTTGGTGCATCCCTTTCTTTGCTAGCTAGCTGGAAGTGATTAAGAACAAGTGTTCTGGAAGTGTTGGCTCCTATTGTGTTTATCAGAGTAGTGCTTCTTCAGGAAGCTTGTAGCTCCTGATACGTCTCAAGCATACAGACTTGCTTCTGCAGGAATATTCAGGAAAGCTATGATACATTGACTAGAGGAAGGACAAACAAATTAATATCATGACTGCTTCACTTCTGAGGCATGATACCAGGAGATCACAGCTTTGTATTTGCACTGTTTCAGTCTTGACCCAGACCAGTTTCTCCTCCCTGATAGAAGCCAAGCTCAAGCTCCTGTGACAGCTTCCAGCCAAAGTTGCATTAGCTCAGCTGAATCAGCTGATAGAAAAATCTCCACAGACAAAAGCTCAGGACTGAAGCTGATCTAGGTGCTGTTAATAAATATTGCAACACATTTCTGTGTTTCCTTGGTACGGTATAAAGTCTTAAGCAAAGTGTTAGGAATGGGCATACTACTCTACTCCTCTCTCCAGGTTGTTCTTAGTTTCTTGTACTATCTCCATATTAATTACACTTTTCATAATCTTGTACAGGTGAAGTGGACAGAGAAAAGAAGGAACAGTCTGAAACGACGCATAATGTGGACAGAATACTTGTTCACAATAAATACATTGCTGAAACTTACGATAATGACATAGCTTTAATAAAGCTGAAGGAACCCATCAAGTTTTCTGAGTATGTTATTGCAGCGTGCCTCCCAGAAGTAGACTTTGCTAATGAAGTTCTGATGAACCAAAGGTCTGGGATGGTTAGTGGCTTCGGACGTGAATTTGAAGGTGGCCGATTATCCAAAAAACTGAAAGTGCTTGAAGTCCCCTATGTTGATAGGAACACTTGCAAGCAATCAACAAACTTTGCAATAACAGAAAACATGTTCTGTGCTGGTTATGAAACAGAGCAAAAAGATGCTTGTCAAGGAGACAGTGGAGGCCCCCATGTAACCAGATATAAGGATACTTACTTTGTTACTGGAATTGTTAGCTGGGGAGAAGGATGTGCAAGGAAAGGCAAATATGGTATCTATACCAAAATGTCCAGGTACTTACGCTGGGTGAGAGGGGTCATGAGAAAAAACTTGTAGTCTTGTGGCTCTTGATCTTTCTGTTAGCAACAAGCTGAGTTTCTGCAATGGAAACTTTCTTCTGTTTTTATTTTTCCTTATTGGAGAAGCTTGTTTTGAGAGCTGTTCCCTTACAGTCACTGGGCTGCTTCTTTTTATTTTCTTCCTGGCTTTAAGCATGTGTATGCAGACTGGTGATGTTGTTTTGAATTTGTACAATGAGGGGCTTTCCCTAAACAAAAATGGCCACTCAATGGGGTCTTTTGTTACTTCTTTGGTTATTTTTACATTACCATTTAGTTTCCTGTCTGTTTGCCCAAGTGTTTCCACCAGAGGCTCCTGGCCATAGTATGAGCCTCTGCTGATCATGATGAAAAAGGGAAGGACGGGACTTCAGTTAATCCTCATATTGCACCCAGCTGGATCAGTAGGGAGTTTTTGTTGTTACCAGAGCTGTAGATACCTGCAGATGTACTTGGAAGATTAAGGGAGCAGGGAAGCTTGCTTAGTAACAGCTGAGACACGAGGAAGTATTTTCAACATGTGATGCTAAATAACCACATGTTCCACAAAATTGCCTGCTTAGGTCACAGCAGCTAATTAAAATGGAGTTTTCTTTATATGGATTGTATTTCACTTCAATTTTAATATTTCTGTTCTGCTTATCAGAAAGAAAAAAAAACATGTATGTTCACTGTTTTCTGTATCATATTCTGAACTGTGTATGGCTGAGGATCACAAGCTCCTTGCATGTGAACTTGTTCTAGGTGTCTCTGCAAGGTGCAATATTGATGTACACCTGCATTTGAAATAAAACATTATTTCTTTCTTGTTGTTTTTCTTTTTTTCTTTATTCCCTTCAATCAGCTTGCAAATATATGAAGACAAAAGCTCATCTGAGAGTGCAAATAAGAGTGAAAGTCCCTAAACAAATACCTGCCTTGTGTCAAGGCTGATGAGGAGTTAGGGAATGGAGGGAGGTAATTAAAAGGCTTTCACTGGCCTAGGAGCTCATAAATATTCAAAAGCTCATAAATTAGATGCCAAGGTACTGATTTTCTTAGAAAGGGGCAAACCACACATGACCAGTTCAGGTACTATGATCTAAACTGTGCTGTAAGGTTTCCAGGCAGAAGCTCTGCACTCTGATACATTTTTTTTATGTCATGTGGTCATTTTCCTCCATGTATTCTTTTTTAAACATTCTCAGCTTCAGTCCTAGTTACAGAAACCATGATTACAACAGCAGGAACAGATGAGAGTGATCTGGTCCAATGCCATGCTCAAAGGAAGGCCAACACGAAGCTAGATCCCCGTCTCTCTCCCTGGTGGTACAAACCCAGACCACTCAGCCTTTTATTGTATGTCACATGCTCTAGGCCCATAACCATCCTGATGGTCTTTCCAAGGCTCCTCCAATCTGTTAGACTCCCCCATTGTCTGAGGTACACTGAACTTCACCAAACACCTACTCCATATGAATTAGGGTTTGAGCTGGTACTGGCTGGTTTCATACAGCAGGTGCTGCAGGCAAACCAGGTTGAAAAACTAGAAATACAAACCTGCAGAGCAGCAAGGTATTGCTGCAGTCAGCAGTAAATGTGGGCAGGACAGCAGGTCAGTTACACAAGATTGATGGTCTCCACCTGTATGAACCCTCAGCAGGCTTACATCAGTGTTTGTTCAGCAATGTTTTGTTCCCGGACTTCTCCTGTCTGCTGGATTCCTGTTTGTACCTTTTCAGCCTTTCCTTGTCCCACTGTCACTGTGCTCTATCAGGGTGAAACATCCCTTTTCAAAGGAACAACCTCAGGCCTACGTGCTACCAAATCATATTTACCTTCTCGTGCTAAGGGCATTCTTCTACTTCAGTGAAGCTTGGGGACTGAAGCAAAACTCAGGCTGGACTTTTATAACTTGTTGAGGTGGCTGAGGGGAGGATCTTCCTCTGGCAATGGAGGCAGTTGCTGGATTTTACGAGCTGGTGTGTATACACATCCTTGTCAAGCCAAGTAGCACCTGGGGAGCAGGCAGAGAGCTGGTTTAACAGATGAGCATGCCAGAGGGTGAAAAAAGTCCATGTTTGTGTGTGTGCAACACGACCATGCTTAGAAAAGAAGTGTCATTATTCTGCAGGGTAGGGGAAACTTCATCCTTGGACTTTGCAATCAGAGTTTATTTGCCTTTTACCAACAAAACTGGGTCCTAGAGAGCCTTTCATCCCTTGCATTGGTACCTATAGTGCCCGAGGCACAAGGGCTTCATATTTATTCCTCGTTCTGTAACCAGAGTCTCTGTCATGCTGAGTGGATATGAGTGAAACATTACACTTGCACCTTGACCCTTGCATGGAGGAGCCTTGGCCAGCATGCCAAAAATAACAGAGATAAACTTGATCCCTTGTTGGCTCCGTGAGCTGGGCTGGATGATCCTGGTGGCCTTGCCAGCCCCTGTTCAGCTTCCAGGTGAGCAACACAAGCAAAGGGTCACTGTTACAGTCGTACAGTTGTGTCCTGTGCTGGCACATAAATGACAGGCAAGGTTTTCCTTCCTCTTCATTGCTCTGTGACACAGGTGACCCATCTGTTAGGGCTGTTTTCTATAGGTAGGCCCTGTCAACAGCTGACTCCATGGAGTAGTGTGAGCCAAAAAAAAACAACAAAAAACTTTCAGAATAAGGTGGAAATGGATGAATTTGGGGAAGTATGGTCTGGCTTGGTGCTTGTGACAGAGACTGGATTCTGTGTGTCCCAGAGTTGCTGCATCTGTACAGAATAGCTGCTTACCAGTTCCACTGGATTCCAAGGCTTCACCTACCAGCGTGACAATATATTTCACCCTACCTAAAGTGCTTCAAACTACAGTGGTTTGGAATAAAAGAGACCAAAACTTGTGCAACACCTCAGGGGCCAAATTTTGCCTCTTGGTTTTTCCTGTCCTGATCAGCTGTGTGCTTCACTTGCTTCCTGAGGCACTGCCAGAGCTGGAAGGCAACATCTCTGTAGTAAACTTTCTGAGCTCTGGAAATCCAGTGCCCTTAGCTACTTCTTACTTCTGAGCCACTTTCCTGCTTCTGTCCAGTCTGCAGGAGGCATAAAGCTCTGGTTCTTGTTGCTCTGCCTTACCTGGGGCACAGCAACAGCCAGATCACTTACTCTAGCTCCTTGCTGCCTGGCTAGTGAAGCTCTTTTAGGGAGGCTTTGTCCATATTTCCTGAATGCATACAGCCATGCACAGTGGCCAGGAAGAAAGGGAATAGCCATATGCCATGGTCCTACTGAGGAGACCACCAAGTGGCAGGCTGGCTTCTGGATTTCAGTAGCATAACCAAGTTTACCCATGCAACTGCATGTTATTTTGCTGAAGCAAAACCTGCCCAGGTGTGTGCACTCCCCTCTTCCTTTGGTGTCTGAAATACACAGATGTCACAGCCTCGGTGGCAAACCCAGCTCCCCCCTGCCCATGCAGGAGAGGGGGGCTTTGCTCACACGAGGCTCCTGCAAGCCATGAGGGTGGCACTGCTGCAGCACAGTGGACTTTTCTTTTTTAATATTGTCCTCTGCTGACATCAAGCACAGACTACTTTGCTTTTAGAGGTTTTGTTTTCCCATAAGCTAATGACCTTTGTGCTGCAGCATTTCTCAGTTAGCAGCTTCACCAGAGCCCTGCAGGGAAACTGGGGCAGACGCAGAGTGAGCTTGGGCGATGGCGATGGCAGGTCATCGTGGGACAGTCTGGCTTCTTCCTGTCGTCCTCCTTTTCCTTCAGATGGTGCAGACAGGTACAGCCTTTGCTTTAACTTGGCTTTCTGCTGCTTTGTCAAAACCACACAAGTAATTATTTCCCATTATTTGTGCTTTGTGGACCTGGGTGACGTAAGTGAAATCCTGGAGGATTTTTTGCTTTCTCGCCCACCTTGCTACCATTTGTCTGGTGCAGTGCAAGAATATCCAGGGCTTAGGTACTAGAGGAATGCCATTTTGAACTGAATCAGTTGTGTCAGTTTAAAATACAGGGTTAATATCAGTATGCAGGGCAGCACAAACCATGAGCTGTTCTTCATGTCCTCAAGAGAAGTGATCATTAAACAATCCTTACCATCCATTCATAAGCTATTGAGTGACAAAATGAACTCCAAAAGGTTTAACAATGCAGAGGGGATCCAGAACCCCACACTGTCACCCACTGTGCTTGTGTAAGTCTCAGCAAAAACATCACATCTCCACTTGAGGAAGTGCCCCACCTGTCTTTGAGGTTGGAGCCTGAGATGCTTCTCTACAGAGTAAGCGTGTGAATCATGCTGCAGATGTGATGCATGTTTTGTTGTTTAATTTTGCTATAAAAGTCCTGTGGTGATTACAGAGGACTGGTTGGACAAAACTGAATAAACACCTGAGTCACCCACATTACAAGAGCTGGGAGTTAGAGGGAGATTTTGACATCCCAGAGATGAGGTGGGAAAGGTACTTGGTGGGACACGTGGTATCCTGAGAATCTTTAGGATATTTCAAGGAAAAATCTCTCAAACACGCAGAAAGCACTTCTGAATGCAGTTGTCTACCTTTGATTTTAATCAGCAGACTAGAAGTAGCTGACAATGCAAAGACTAAAGATGACTTCAGTAAAAATGACTGTAAAATGACAAAGCTCATGGAGGAAGTGAAGGAAAAGAACAAGAAAATAAAATTAATGTATCTTTTAAAAGAGAAAGATCTGGCTACTTCTAAAAAACCCCACAGAAACCCAAAGTGTTTGAGGCACATGTGCAAACTATCCCAAGATCAAGGAAGGACAGGAGGACTAATTAAAATAATGAGCTCCTTCATGACCTCACCTCTAGAAAAAAGTATAGAAAAATAGATCTGTAGAGAAGAACTGGAAACATCCTGGAATAAGACCAGAAATGCAAAGGAGTAAATACAGTAAGATAAATATGATGTGATATGGAGTGCAGGGCGTCACACAGGTGAGCCTGTGGACCTCTGATGTTAGGTATTTTTCACAGTGACATGCTTGCAAGATGCAGGAGTGTTTATTCACTTAATTTTTAGCTCATTCCAGACTGAAAAGACTAGCATAAGTAGAGATGAGAGTTCAGGACAATCTTGTGAAAATGGAACAGTGATCCAATATAAATAGGAGACAATTCAGTAAACACAAAAGCAAAATTTTACCCTGAGACCCACGATACACAACTAAGGAAATTTGTAAAATACAAAATAGAAGCAAGAAATCTTCTCCACTTTCACAAAGATAAAGAGCTAGGGCAAGAAACAGTGGGATCACATGACCCTGAGGGACACTGAGGTTAGACATTAGGAAACACTTTTAAGCTGTTATAAGGGTCGTTAAGGAGCCCATGAGGCTGAGTGGGTGAGCTGTGGAGTCTCACTATGAGTCTGCAGGAACAGGTTAGACAGCATCTGTTAGGGCTGGTTTACCTGTCCTTGCTCTAACACTGTTAGTGCTGGGAAGAGCTCTCCCGTACTGCCTACCATCTTCTAGTGCCAGGAACTGAGCTAAGGTGAGCAGTATGAGCCACATACAGATGGAAAAGGAATATTGCAAGGATTTATCAAGAGTCCAATACCTCATTTATTACTGATACTTTATTTGTTGCTCATTTTGGCCTCTTAACAACACCCTTGTACATCTTTGCCATAGTACAATAACCATTCTGGTGAGCATGGATTATCACTTCCTTTGCCCTCAAATAGCTGCCAGCTATAGGTGGGAAACACAGCACGAGATGTAAAATAAAAGTGGTCTACCCGATCATCACATCTTACCATTTTTAAAGTGATGATAGTTACAACTGTTGTTATTACTAAGGCGTTAGAAAGAAATGGCCACGTGGTCTCTCACTCAACTTCCACCCACACACACACACCGTGGGATGGGGAGGACAAAGGCCAAATAGGCACTCAAGGGTCGAGACAAAGGACAAGGAGGGTTCTTCATCTATTAAAGTCATGGACAAAACAGACTCAACTTCGGGAAAAATAATAATGTAACTTATCACTAATTAAATGCACACAGGACACAGACACACACAGAGCAGGGCTTGCATATGTTACCCCACCCCTTCCTTCTTCCCGGGCCCAAATCCCTTTGTTCCTGGTTTCTCTCCCTCCTTCCCCCAGTGGCACAGGGGGACAGGGAATGGGGTTTAGAGTCAGTTCACAGGCTGGTGGTTCCTGCTGTTCCTTCCTCCTCAGGGAGAAGGATTCCTTACAGTCCTTCCCTGCTTCCCCACGGGGTCCCTCCCATGGCAGAGAGGCCTCCAGGAACCCCTTCTCCATGGGTCCTCCCCACGGGCACCGGAGCTGCTCCAGCCTGGGCTTCCCACAGAGTCATGGGCTGCTTTGGGAACAGCCACTTCCCCTGGCACCAGGGTCTTCCAAAGCTGCATAATCCAAGTCCACTGACAGCAAAATCCAAGTTCACCCCTCCTGGTGCCCCCAGGGAATGTTCCACCATGTTCCTCCACGAGTGCAGGGGCACAGCTGCCATCTCGCCGTGGGTTGCAGGGAAATTTCTGCTTGGGCACCTTCTTCCCCTTCTTCCTCACCAACCACCGGTGCCCTTCTACCTCTCCAGCTCAGCTCCTTCCTCCAACTGCTCACTGTGTTCAGGTGTTACATCAGTTCTTTCCTGTGTTAATCACTGAGGCACATCCATTACCCCTCTAATGGCTCCTTGGCTGGGTTTGGAGCAGGGGGAGCTTCTCAGCTTCTTACCAGAGCCACTCCTGGGGCCCTTCCCCTGCTACCAAAAAACGCTCCAAACCAGCACAGGCAGAAATTGCACAGAATTTCCCCAAATGGTGTGGGGTTTGACTAATGCTTGCAAGTAAGTTTTTTTGAGCTGCTTGTGCTTTTATGAAATTTTAATCTGCCTGTAAGCGTGTCTCCTTCGCAGTCACACCGAATGCATGCGGGGTGAACAAAGGGAACTGTGAGCAGTTCTGCAACACCAGAGATGAAGGAGTTGTGTGTTCCTGTGCTGCTGGCTATGCCCTGGGCAATGACAACAAAACCTGCATTCCTGTAGGTAGGAAGTCACACTTGAAGTCCATTCTACGGGAGTGAACCAATCATATCTTCAGCAGGGTTGGGAGTGCTGGTGTGTTGCAGCGTCACTGAAGCATCAGCAATGATGTTGACTGCTCATGCCTTGCATGTGTCTTGCTTGAGGTGTTGCCAACAGAGATAATAAGGTCTTAGCTAAAGGTCATCCTTTAAGAAACATCAGAATGTGCAACTCTGAGCAGTGCTCATCGGCAAAAATGGCTCAAAGAAGCATTCTGTGCAAGTCAGTATGCTCTTAGAGTGGACTACAAAACCCATGTCCCAGCAGATATGAAGCCGTACAAGAAACCAGTGGTTGCAATGGGGCTCAGCTTCCCCTTCTCTCACAGGCTGAAACAGGCCTCTCATACTTCAGGAGATTTTGTTAGAAGGGAATGGGTTAGAATTATCATTGGTGAAACTTGGAGTCTATTTTCAAAGCCTCCAGGGTGTGAGGAATGCCTAAGATGCAAACAAGTAGGAACTCAAGATACTTCTCCCTTATCAAGGTAGAGATCATAAGGACTCTTTATCATTTCAGTGGTAATGACATAATGTGATTTGCAGTTATCTCTCAGTTGCTTACGCTCAAATGTCACCTGTTCCATTTAAAAAGAATGCCTTCCTTTCTACTTTCTTCTAAAAGCTTTTTTATTTTTTTGCAATTAACACTTAGTAATCTAATACATGGAAAACTACTGATATTGAATGTAAACCCATCAGATTTGCCTGCTTCAGAGAAAGTGAACATTATCAATTATTACTCTTACACCATTCTTCCATCTGTCTCATTATATTTGTTATCATGTCCTTTGTATTTTAATACCAAATTGCTGTCATGCGCATATAATTCCTAATATGGATCACTTTACTCAGTTTTCCAGCTAGAAAAGTTTTAAGAACAGCAAGCACATGAAAATAATTATGCCAATAATGGAAGCTGTTTCACTTTTAAATACTTTGAAAATGCTGGACCAATTCACCCTCTTGCCTAAAACTAGCAAGTTTTAGAACTGGAAAATGGTATCAACTTTTCAGGCATTCTGGTCTCCCTCCATTTTGTATTTGCAAAGTTTTTCTTAATATCTTGAAAAATTGTGCAGATGAGGACACCTGCATGACTAATTTGATTGCAAAAGGCTGCTGCCAAGGAGTTTTCCTGGATCAGTTAAATGAATTTTCTCTCATTTTCCTGAAGAATTGATTTCTTTAAAAAGTTGTTTTCCTCTCCTGTGATGAAAGGCTGAGAGCTGGGATTGTTCAGCCTAGAGAAGAGAAGGCTCTGGGGAAACCTTATTGTGGCCTTTCAATTCTCAAAGAGAGTCTATAAGAAAAATGGGGACAAACTTTTTAGCAGGGCCTACAGCAATAAGAGCTAATGGCTTTAAACTAAAAGAGGGTGGTTTTAGACTAGATACAAGGAAAAAATTGTTTTACAATGAGGAAGGTGAAGCAGAGGTTGCCCAGAGAGGTGACAGATGGCCCATCCCTGGAAACGTTCAAGGTCAGGCTGGATGGGGCTCTGAACAACCTGGTCTAGTTGAAGATGTCCCTGCTCACTGCAGAGGGGTTGGACAAGGTGATCTTTGAAGGTCCTTTCCTGAACAATTGGACAGGAACACCTTACTCTCCGTGTGCAACATGCGCCTCAAAGTCCCATTACCACCCAGACATCAAGTACTAGCATTTTGGTTTTGCCTTCTCAGTCAAGTTCCCATGTGGTAAGCTTCAGAGAAGTCAGGAAGCTGGTCAAGAGAATGTCACAGGAACCACAGCAAGTGCAGAGGCTTATCCTGAAAGTAAGGAAACCACGGAGGCCCCGAGCAGCCACCCAGAGGTCACCGTGGAGGCTGGTACCTTACCCAGCACATCCCCATGGCAGGTAAGGTGCCCTTGTCCTGAGATGTTTTAACACCTGACCCTGCTCACCAGGACTGGCAGTAATTTACTCTTCATTGTACTCATCCCTGCTTGCTAAAGGGACCTACATCAGTTTGAACCAGACTTCCCTGCTGCCAACATTTTGTACTCTCCTGAGTACTGTGTAGAAGCACAGGAGTTCTACCATGAATGACATGGTGCCTCCATTGCAGCATCAAGCAAATACTGAGAGGGTGAGGTCAGGAGAGATTAGGGTTGCAGATATGGAATGTAGAGCAGTGTGAGGCACAGGACCCCTTCCCTGGCAGCCACCCCATTACTTGCATTGCAGCATGGAGGTATCAGAATACACTGAGTTCCTGTTGTGACTATGATGAAAATGAAACAAACAAAAAAAACCCCAACAGGAACAGTGGAGGAGTGGGAAGGTACCATGCTACAGAAAAACTACAACATCATGGTAGCAATTACAGAAACTTTGTTGCATGAATCCTATGACTGGAGTGTGGCTGTCAATGGCTACAAGCTGTTCAGGAGGGACAGCAGAGGAAGAAGGGGTGGAGGTGTAGCCCTCTATGTAAACGAGTGAATAGAGTGTGAGGAGTTGTCTCTGAAGAATAGCCATGACCACATCAAAAGCTTGTGGGTAGGAATCAGGGACTGGGACAACAAAGGGAGTCTTGTGGTTGGAGTCTAGTCAGACTTCCTGGTCCGGTGGAGCCTGTCAATGTAGCCTTCTTACTCCTGATGGTCACAAATGCAAGTGGGGATGTCAAAGCTGAGGGGTGCCTGGGCTGCAGTATCATGCACTAGTGCAGTTCACTGTCCTAAGGGGTGTGAGGCAGATGAAAAGCATAGTCAGCACTCTGAATTTTAGGAAAGCAAAATTCCAGCTCTTGAAGAAGTTAGTAAGTAGGACCCCTTGGGAAACAGCCCTCAGGGACAAGGGAGCAGAACAGACCTGGCAGATCTTTAAGGATGCTTTCCATAGAGTGCAAGAGATCTAAATCCCCAGGTTTAGGAAATGGGGCAAAGAAGACAAGAGATCAGCATGGCCGAGTCAAGACCTGCTGATCAAATTAAAAGACAAGATGGAACTACACAGGCAGTGGAAGTGGGGACAGGTATCATGGGAAAAGTAACAACATTATTGCCTCAGTCTTCACTGGCAACCCTCACCTCACAGCTCTCAATTTGATGGCCCACAGGACAGAGACCAGGGAGACAGAGTCCCTCCCACTGTAAGCAAAGACAAGGTCTTTTGTCTTCAGGACAGCATGGCTTTACTAGGGGCAAATCCTGCTTGACCAACCTAGTGGGTTTCTACAATGGAATGACTGCGTCAGTGGACAAGGGAAGACATATGGAGGTCATCTCTCTGGACTTCTGCAGGGCCTTTGACATGGTCCCCCACAACATCCTTCTCTCTATGTTGAAGAGATATGGGTATGATGGGTGGACTGTTCAGTGGGCAGGGAATTGGCTGGATGGTCACATCCAGAGGGTAGTGGTCAATGTCTTGATCTCCAGATAGAAGACGCTCACAAGTGGTGTTTCTCAGGGGACATTGTCACCGATGTGCAATTGCAGCCCAGAAGGCCAACCACGTGGCCAGCAGATTGAGAGAGGTGATTCTGCCCCTCTGCTCTGCTCTGCTGAGACCTCACCCAGAGCACTGTGTCCAGCTCTGGAGCCCCCAACTCAAGAAGGATGTGGACCTGCTGGAGTGAGTCCAGAAGAGGGCCACAAAAATGATGCAAAGGCTGGAGCTCCTCTCTTATGAAAACAGGCTGAGGTAGTTGGGGTAGTTCAGTCTGGAGAAGAGAAGACTTGGGGGGACCTTATAGCAACCTTCCAACACCTGAAAGGAGCCTGTCAGAAGGCTGGGGAAGACCTGTTCGCTAAGGCATGTCATGAGAGGACAAGGGGTAGTGGTTTCAAGCTAGAAAAGGGTAAATTTAGGCTGGATATTAAGAAAATTTCTTTAATACGAGGGTGGTGGATCACTGAAACAGGTTAACTAGAGAGCTGGTGGGGGCCCCACCCCTGGAGATATTCAAGATCAGGCTTGATGGGGCTCTGAGCAACCTGCTCTAGTGTGAGATGTCCCTGCTGATTGTGGGGGGTTGGACTAGATGACCTTTAGCGGTCCCTTCCAGCCCAAGACATTCAATGATTCTATCATTCTAATCTAAATTTTATTTAAAAAATAGCAACCAAAAACTGTTGGTAAAATAACTCAATGCGCACACTCAGTTTTGAGCTAGGAAAAAGGTTTGTCTTGACAAGTTTCCTGCTGTGGTGGCTACACCTCAGTGTAACTCCAACCACCTCTGAATGGAGGTTGCCTTTGGCAGAAAATGCAATTGAAATTATCTACTTTAAGAGATGCTTGAATCTCAGCTACCTGTTCAGGATTTCTCTGTATGTATGTTCTTGTGCTTTATCTTTCTTCTCTCTCTTCACAGGCGGTTCTATTAGATGAGGATGATGCATGGTTTTGTGGGGGGACAATTCTGAATGAGTATTTTATACTCACTGCGGCTAGTTGTGTTACGCGATTAAAAGACTTACAGGTTCTTGTTGGTAAGTGCTTCTCATGTTGCTCTTTACTACAAAAGTAAGAAACTGTCCCATGTTCTAGTCTTGATATGCACAACACTGAACTCTGCTGGAGTGTTTTTTACCCTCTAGTTATCTTTCATTGCCTCATCTTGTCCCTTGACTAACACTAAAAAATATATGTTCAACTTTGTTGAATGGAGAGTTTCTTTAAGCTTGGCTTAGCCTGGTGTAGCTTGTATATGATACAAGCCAAGTATAAACTGGGAAGTTACCTGAGCAAGTAAGGCTGAGCTGATGCAGTTAAACTGGTCTAACATTACAACTTTGTGCAATTTCCTGTGTTGGCCAAACCTTGAAGAATTCCAGATGCCTCATTCACATGTTAGCAATAACTGTTTTGACAGCATGTAGATAATAATCTGAGACAGTTCCATAGTTGAAACCACAAAGGTATTCTTTATTACTGTCATTTATGAAAAAGTACACCGTCTACAATAATAAGGCAAAAATGGTGTTTGCCTAAACTCCAACTGGCTGTCCATTTAATTTCCAAAGAGATTTCGTAAAAATTGATGAAGACTAAATATATATAAATTCCTAAGTTTTTGTATGCAGGATGTTAAAGTTTTAAAAGACAATGAATATGTATTTCCTGTTTCAGTCTGTTTGACTATGTTGCTCTACAAATGAGATGGGCAAGATCCTTCTCTTCTGTGTTGAGGCTTTTGGTTTTAGATCATAAGAGTGCCATTGAACATCTTGTAATGAAGCCCAAAACTTTATATCAAAGCTTTCATGGAGACCATTGTTCTGATAGCAAAGTTCTGAGTTTCTACTTGCCCTGACTTTTTGGTAGCCCTTTAAACCTCTCCGAAATGGATTTAAAATGCTACAGAATCAGGATACAGAACTAGTCTATTTTATTTGTACAGTATAATGCATAGGCAGTGCAAGGAACTTTGGTCCCTTCTTTTATTGAGATGCAGTTTAGACTTCTTGGCACTGTCTTACTAACAACTACTTTACTCATTTGACATAGGGATGGTGGACAAAGATGGGGAAGAGCCGAGTAGAGCAAAGTACAGAGTGGAAAAAATCATTGCACATGCTGACTTTGATGGAGAAACTTTTGACAGCGACATAGCCCTTCTCAGATTAGAGGAACCTGTCACATTTTCTGAGGATGTTATCCCAGCATGCCTTCCAGAAGAACAATTTGCTAACAACGTTCTGATGAACCAAACATTTGGAATTGTCAGTGGCTTTGGGAACACATTTCAACATGCACGGCCAATCAGAAGAATGAAAGTGCTTCAAATCCCTTATGTGGACTGGGGCACTTGCAAACTCGCCCTTCATAATCCAGTCACCAAAAACATGTTCTGTGCTGGTTATGATAAAGATGGAAAAGATGTCTGCCAAGGAGATGGAGGAGGCCCCCATGTAACCCACTACAAGGGGACTTATTTTGTTACTGGTATCATCAGCTGGGGAGAAGGGTGTGGAAGGCAAGGGAAATATGGTGTGTACACCAAATTATCAAGGTTCCTACCCTGGGTAAGAAGTGTTTTGGCAGCAAACTCTTCACAGTATGACATTTAATCAAGGTAATTGTCTTAGCCATCAGATCTGATCCTTAAGTAATGTTTTGCTCTTATTAACACTCCTGCTAAAATTCTGATCCTTTGTGATTGACTTAATTGATGCCATCTATTTCTCATGAGCTAATGCCTGGCTTTCAGAAGGTGGGCTTGGACTTAAACAGAGCTTGCTGGCTTTGGACAACAAATACATTTCTTCAAATGTCATAGTTAGGAATTCATTCTGCTCTGGCTGTGATTACCTAAATTTGCAATTGGAGGCTTCACCTGTGCTGATAAGCCCCATCCCATTCCAGTGACAGGTAGAACTAAGTCAGCTTTTCTGTGGCAGTACCTGCTTTACAGAAACAGACCAGACTAGGATAATGTAAAAGTAAGACAGTATTTTAAAAGCCTCTGGAAAAGCTACCTAATTTTTAGATTTATATGATGCACACAGAAAATGCTAGAAAATACCACCCAAGTATCCACGTGAATCTGAATAGCTGGGCATGCCACTGAATCAAAACAGTTGTTAGGTGAAGCTCACTCAATTGGAACGGCTTAATTATCATTGCCAGAATCACTGGTGTTCTGATACTTTCTTGCTTTCCTTCTGAGATACTTTCTTCACCATCATTGTTTATGTTGTAACTTTGGCAAAAATAAAATTAATGTATTGCATACCCTACAAATTACAATATTGTTGTATGTCATAATTTATATAAAGGGTTATTTAAAGTATTTACAACTGAACAGTTTTAAATCTACAAGGAAAAATAATCTTTCAAGGCTAAGAAAAGCCTAACTGTCTAATCAGCTGTACCTGGCATCCTCTGTCTGCCTTATTTCAATCCAGAGGGAAAAAAAAGACTTGTTTTTCAGCCAGGTCCATGCTACATAAAAGCTGTGAACTACATATTAAGATGTCTGAGTCTCTGCAGAAAAGTGAAGTACTCTGTGATGTACTTTTAAAAAGTGTGACAGGATATATTTCGGAAGACAGGGAAAAGAGAGATGTCACAAATTATATTGTGGAATAAAGTGTGAAATATTTTTGTCATACCTTGGCTTCACATCACCCAGTTTGCAAGTGTGAAAGTCACTGTTTTGGGGTAATTTTTAATGTGGATTTCGTTGATCAGTTTGAAAAGAATAGGGCAGTTACATTTGTCCTACCCTGACCAGTATCGTGTTCCTCTGTGAAAAACTCAGCAAAAACACACTGGAGTGTGTTCCATTTATATAATCCTCACTTCCCCCTCCATGCCCCCTCCAACCAGTGTTCCCTGACACACCTCCCAAACTTCTGAACTGCTAAAAGAACTCAATCCTGGAGTGACAGCATGTCACAGGTCTGGCTGTTCAAGCCACAGAAAAAAGTTCAGCCCCTGATGACTGGCTCCCTGACATCACTGCTCCAAAGGATTTACCCCTGCTTGAATTCCCATAGGACCTCTGTTGAAACTTCTGGTTATACTTCAGCCCTAAACTATATGTTGAGAGAGCTGAACCTGGTATATGTAAATCAGATATATCCCAGGGATTATGAAGAGGCCATTGCACAGGTCTTACAATTGGTGACCCATTCCCTCATTGCCATCCATCCTCCCTTCCAGCCCTGCATTACCACTTGCCTCAGCTCCACAGCACTACTAGTTTATTCTTAACTAACTGGTTACAGACAGTATGGAAGCCTTCAATGGGCTTAAATCACTGTCTTTTGCTCAACATATATTCAGAGGAGTCAGTCATCTGAGCTGCTTCTTCCTCACCTCGCAGTTTGCACTTCCAGGCACGAATCACACGATCATCAACCTACTCAGATGTTCAGTAGCAGATAAGAACAGATTCTGCCTGCTGGGACAAATAGCTACTTAATTGCACAGAGCATTCCAATTCTTACTTGAGATACATACCATGGCACACATCATTTCATCTGTACTCTGCCTAAATGCTGAGTCCTCACAGAGAGGTCAGAATTGTAACTCAAGTCATCCTGGGAGATTTACTTTGAAACTTGCATAAGATTTTTTTTTCCCATCGTTTTTGAATACGGGTGGATTTATTTTTTCTCCTTGTCATAAATGCAGAAGTCAACTGGCAAAAACAATCCAGCAGTGTAGCAGTTGCACAAGCCCACAGAGTCTGTGTCTCCCACAGCTTGGAAATCAGGTCCATGGCAGGAGTCACTTCCACCACCCAGTCTCATCTGTCTGGGCTGTGGGTGGAAGCTCTCGGGCACTGGCTTTGCACTGGCACAGCTGGGGTCAGGCCAGGTCTTCCCTCCTGCT